AGTGACGGGGGTTTGTCAGGAACACCCACAAAGATCCCTAGACCCAGAACAACCAAGTTTAAAGCTCCAAAGGCCAGCGCCTTCCAGCAGCAGGAGCCAAGCACAGTCAAGCACCAGATGAACATTTGCTTTTCTGCTTCATATCCTTCTCAGTCCTTTCCTTAAGAAATGTAGAGGATTAATAATTTTGGATGCAGAGCCTGAGTTCACGCAAACGCATATGAAACCTGCACACAATACCCCCATTAAATGCACAGAGAAGCTCAGAGACTGGAACAACTCACCTCCAAGAGCTTCACCCAAGTCCCACAGGAAGGCTATGGCGGAGCCAGAAATAGAGCCCAGACCTCCTGACTCCGAGCCCTGGGCCCTAACAAAAACATCAGCTTCCCTCCACCATCCCTCTCTTCATACACTACATTGACCAGACTGGAAAAGGCATTCAAAATAAATAAAACCTGCTTCTCGTGCCAAGTTTTAAAAAACATTTTCTTGTCATGGCTGGTTGTTTTTCTCCCGCTAGACGTTAGGCAGTCTCCACCAAGGGAGACAGCTCTCCTTTCTTCTCCAGGAAACACAGTTGTCTCCCACATGTTGCACTCAATGTAGCTCAAACAAATGTTTTAGGAAATTCCCCCTAATTCAGTGAAATTGTTAGCTTGGCAGTGGTGCGCTGGAAACAGGACTGCCTTGGATTTTTTTTTTATTTTTCCTTTTTAAAGTGTACAGGAGAGCTCGGGCTTCAGACGGGCTGCTGAGGAAGACAGAAACTCATGTTACATATAAAGGATTTGGCAGGCCTGAACATAGAAATTTCCAGAAGTGTTTGCGTGGCAACAGCTCTGTGCCAATCCACATTTTTTAGCTATTCTGGCTGGCTGCCCGGCCGACAAGAAAGTCTTGTATCTCCACGCAGTTCACTGGCTTCCCTGAGGAGTTTCCATACTGCATGGCAACATGGGATAATCTTATTTGCGCGCCAGAAAAACTCCTGCTACTTACACTGTTACTAAATACCAGATGTGCTTAATAAAGAGTAAGTGGAGCCAAACCTAGGGTAATCACATAACCTATCATTAACATTTTCTAAAAACAAAAAAATGCCATTGGAACAGCAGATTACTGTTTTGCTTTGTTTGCTTTACGCCCTGTTACGGGAACCCCTGGGGTGCTGGGAAGGGAGCGCGGCAGGAGCAGACAGCTCTGGCACGGCCGATGACATTGTTTACAATCACACCCCTGCACATCTGAAACATGTGTGAGAAAGTAAAGGCTAAGCAGATTTCCCCTGCCCTGGAGAGGGAGGGGAGGATTGCAGCAGGAAGTCTAACGCCACCAAGAAAGCGCTGGAGTCCTGTTTCTTCATCCTGGGGAGGTGGCCAGGGAAGGGAGGGGGGTTGGGATGCGGCAGCGTGAGTGTGGTCCTTCATGACATGCATGTCCCCAAGTCCCTGGTGCACGAGAATGTGGGAGCGGGACTTGTTCCTTGGAATTTAATGACGGCCCAAATCCTCCAAGCCCATTTAAACCACATTTTTGTGTGAGTCGGGGGGCCAGTCACCACACAAAATGTGTGCGCGCATTTATTATGGATTTAAATGGATGTTGCACATGTGCATATCTGATGGTGACCAGACCCTTGAGGGAAACAGTGAAGACACAGCCACGCCGAGTGAGTGAGTTCTGCTGCGGCAGGCTATGAGGAGGAGGAGGGAGACAAATGTGCTGTGACACTCGCAGCCCCCCAGTGCCCCTGGCAGAGGAGGCTTGGTTCAGCTTGGCCCAAAGCCCCGGGAAAACCCGAGCCACCCGACTGCAAGGGGGGCAACCCTCCCCAAAACAGGACATGGGCGAAAAAGCTGGTTTTTCCCACAGATCTTTCTGCAGTTGACACAGAGGAATGGAGTAAAATGGCTAGAAAAGGAGGTTTTGTCTTTATTTTAGTGTCTGCTACTATGTCTGTTGGCAAGCATGGGCTGACTGGGTCTTCCCAAGGATGACCATCCCTCGCAGGTCTGCTTGCTCCAGCTTGGTGGAAACCAAAGCAAAGGGATGGGAGGAGGGACAAGTCCAGGCCTTGCTTGATGTGTACAGGAAGGCGGGGAGCGGTGAATCACCCTCATCATGCAACAGCCCGGAGTGGTGCCATTGCTCTAGTCCCTCAAGCAAAGCTCTGACCCGCACCAGTGGGAGTCACAGCTATGCAAAGCTGGGATATCTGATGGCAGGAGCTGTGCCAAGGGCACGGGGTGAGGAGGTCACTGCCGGTGTCAGCCTGCCACAGCCCAGCAGCAGGAAAGCAGCCACAGCCCAGCGCTCACATGGCTCCCAATGTGACCGAACTCCTACGTTTCCCAAAGGTTGACTGCAAGGAGAGGAAAAACAGCAGACCAGAGGAACGCAATGGGCTTGACTCCCCAAGCCCACTGCTGGTGCCCCATCTGTTGCACCCACCATGCAAGGTCCAGCCCAGGCTCTGTTTCACCCCACAAATTCAGCAGCACTGGTCTTAAAGGCTGTGCCAAGTGGCAGCGAGGAGCACTGCTGCCTTTGTGCCCCCCAGGCCAGAGATGGGGTACGGTCCTGCACTGCTGGCATGGGAGCTGCACAGCAGGAGCGGTGGAGCAGCTGGTCCTGCTTGGGCCCCAGGCTTTTGCCTGATGCAAGTATTGCCGGGCTGGCCCCCAGCCACAGGCTTAGGGCAGCAGATGACTCAGGGCACCAAAACAGTCGTGTCCTCGCCACCTATTCTGCCGGCACCACACTCCTGTAGAGCTGAACTTCTGCTGCTACTGCTTAGAGGCTGGGTGAAGCTCTAGGTCGCTTGAGCCCTGCCCCACATCTCCCCCTTCCAGCTCCATCCTTCCCCCTGTCCCATGGCTGGAATGTCCCTAGCTGCTCAGCCTTCAGCTGACAAGACCCAGCTTTGCCTGTGCTGCTGAGAAGCCCCAAGGAGGGTCCAAACATCCCCCAGTGTGCCAACCTTGTTGCCACCATAAATGTGCTGAGCACTGCTAGAGGGCTGAGGCTACTGCCTGTGACCTGGCAGCTAGAGCAGGAGACAAGAAGCCTCCTCCACCCACAGTGCAAGCACAGAGTGACCAGTTTTCCCAGAGTAAAAACCTGGGACAGAAGCGAGGTTGCCAGCAGCTCACTCCCTTGGTGTGCCCACTCCTTGTCAGCCAGAAGATTTGGTATCATTGGAGCTGCTAGTCTGGGGAAGCCTCACCCCACCAGCTGTGGGCGGTGTGCAAGAGAGCCAGGAGAAAATTAGGTAGCGGCTGCCCAATGCTGCATCACTCTTTCCACTGCAGGCTTCAAGGATCTTCTAAAAGAGTCAGGAAGCAGCAGAGAAGAACAGCTAATCAGCTGCATAAAGGCACTCCTTCCCCTCATTGCTGCCCAGGACTCCCAGACCCCTGCCCGCTCCACCCTGCCGGACACTTCCAGTCAGCTGCATCCCTCTTGGCCTCCTCCCAGGAAGCTGAGGGGATGTTGAGGCACGGCTCATTGACTGCAAGGATCCAGGCACCTAGACAGACCCCACCAGGTCTGCCCCTTCCTTGTAGCACTGCATAGGCCATTCAGTTCAGTAGGTGAACCAACAAAAAGATGTTTTCCTACAGCTGCTTCCAGGACTCCAGCAACTGTACTGCTCTTTGGAGTTTGGTTTGTTTGTTGTGTTGTGAAGGGGAACCCATCAGATGTTCCTGAAAGTGAACATCTAACCCCATCCCCAGTTGGCAACAAGAAGGAGAGGCTCCTGCCAAGCAGTCACAAGGCACGCCACAAACAGCTTGTTTCACCTCCCCGCCAGGGAACAAAGTCCTTTGCCATTCAGAGACTTCAGTACGCAACGATGTTTTCCCTTGGCTCTGGTTCCCATTTGTCACACTCCTAAAAGACCAATCCCTGCTGCTCAAGGTTTTTGGTGAAGGCCTTATTTCTTGGATTTAGAGCCTTTCTTTTCTGAAAGGCAAGTCTCTTTAACCCAAATTGTTGACATGTTGACTGCCACAGTGACCTTTTCTTTGCTAAGCTTCATGTCCATGTCACTCTAGAGACAGGAGGTCCCATGAGCCCAGTGGGGCTGGCCTATGGGACAAGCCCAGCCCACTTGGCAGAAAAGCAAATTTAATACAGAGCTTGCTGCTCTTAAGCTTTACGATGGATTGGGGTGCACGTGGGGTTTCTGTTCTGTTGTGGCCATATGCAGGGGACAGACAGAACTGGATCTGCACTTGGCAAGGCATTGTCTGAACCACGGGGCAGTCCTGGGACTGAAGAGCTATCTTGAGAAAGACAAGGCAATAAAAGGGATTGAACAAGGAAGCAGAGGGGAAATAAAAGGGTTTGCAAATACCACCATAGAGCCATGATCAATGTGAAAAGAGATGGGGTTTAAGGTCTTTATTAGGAAAGAGCTAAGGGAGAGGCATGAGAAAGGCAAGGGCAGGAAAGAGCAGGGAGGGCAGATGAGATGAGGCTGAGAGGACGAGAAGGGGAAAGGTAAGACAACCCTGACAGGTCGCACTACACGACCTTCTGTTCCCCAGCAGCCAAGAGATAGGGGAAGGGGCACAGAATGGTTCCTTACATGTGCAGTAAAGATGCAGGGGGTGACTACTTCATCACTCAGTTTCTTACACTGGTGAGCCTAAGCTGACCTTGTTTTTTTCCCATGTCACGGGGCTGCCGTATCTGTTCAAACAACTTCTCCTTCCTTCCATCAATCAGAGCCAAAGTTGGACAAACGGGCAACACAGTGTCAGGGAACAACTGCAACCTAAGGCACACAGGAAAGATCTGCTACAGCTCTCCAACACATTGACAGGTTTTATCTTATCTGTTGCCAGGGGGGACAAAGAGCTAGAGGGACAGTGAAGGTCAACCAGGCACTTAGGAGAGCTCCGAACAAGGGAATAACTGATTACACTGAAGGACATCACATTTGCAATTAAGGCTGAGCTCCAAAGGTATGGGGGAAGTAAGCTGTTTCTCCTCCCCAGCCTGGCATAAGAAAGGCTCTCCACTGGCCACGCCAACAACAATGTGGAAGTGTCATTCCCCTTCCTGAGTCCCCACCATGTCCTGAATGAGGGAGGATGAGCAATAAGCCTGTAAGTATTTACAAGAAAAAGGCTTAGCACAAAGTGCTTCTGGGCACAGCTCTGCTGCCAGTAAAAAGCATGATGAAAAGCATACTTTCTTTGATGAAGCCTCATTCGAGTGGTTTATGGGTAAAGGTGAATCTAGTATATATCATATTTGTCTGATGGCAAACAGAGCCCACTTGTGAAATCCATCTGACTAGATGTTCTGAGAAAATCTTCATGAAACATCTGCGAGCTTTGAATGACTCCATTGTTGTCAGGGTTTCAGCTGGAAATTGTTCTGGATGTGAGGGAATGGTGGGTCACTCATGGCTTATTTCTTATTAAATGCTTTGGGTTTAGGGGCTTTGAGGATATGTAGATATTTTTCTCATTTACAGCTTCACATGAAGCAAAGTACTAGATGAAGAAAAATAATGAGAGCAACTTGCCTTTTTTATTTTTTAGTATTAAAGACGTAGGTTATTGCCTTGTTAAGAAAATGTGCAAGAAGTGTTTTTGACCCTCTAGAAGAGAATAGCTCTGTTACTGATCCAGATTAACAGGGTTTAAGATGCAACTGCTGTGGGCCAAAGAGGAAGGTATGCACTGTGGTTATGTCCTGGAGAGAGACTCAGCATATCTGGCTTAACCTCCCAGCTCTGTTGTTGACATCCTATCATTCTGTCTCTCTCTCCTGCTTTACTACAGCAATTTGAGAACACCAAAACTAATTGATTGTTTGTGTTTTTAGAGTTAGATACTCTGCTGTATAGCCCTTAAATCCTCTGGTCAAAAATGGCAAGTGTAAGATGCCCCTCTGGCTGGCCTCAGCCCACAGAGAGCAGTTTCACGCTCCAGGGAACTGCTGAGAAGATGTATCTGCTGGACACCTCCATCACCTCTGTTTGCAAGCAAAGCTTTGCAGGTTATCTCCTCTCATTGGAGAGGAAAAAAAAAAAAATCACACTTTTTTAATTCAGTCCCCCCTCAGTGGACTTTCCACTGCTTAAGGCCACCCGTCGGTGTCCCCACTAGCCCAGTTCTCTGTCAATTCAGCCTACTCTCACTTCATTTCCTCAGCTGTTAAATGATGCTGAAGTCACGGTCAGGTCTTTGGCTGCAGTGAAACAGGGGACTGCTACGCTGAAATGAGAACCTCCATGGAAACGTCTCCCGAAATAATGAAACGTGTGAAATAAAACTGGCTTAGGTGTTTGAGCGCTGTGTTTGCGTGTCACATAGCTGTGATGTTGGCCTACAGCCAGCAGTAGGAAATTTGCCAGTGCAAGCTAGGCTAGATCAGGTCCAGATCCCCTTGTGAGAACTCCCACCACTCCAGGTGCAGGTTGAAGCACTGTGCCCCTGCCTGCACACCAGGCACAATGTTGTCTTTTCCCTTGCATGCACAAGCTTTAAGACGACCAGGAGCAAGTTGGGAGACCCCAGAGCCATTGCTCTCACCCCTTGTCCCTGCAGCTCAGCCACACATGCCAGCCTTACATTCATAGCGGCTGAGGGCTGATCATGGCGGGGATTTTGGGAGTGACATATTAAAAAGCTGCTTCACAGGCTCACCCGGGGGTTGCTGTGGCTGGCTCTGCTCCATGTGCCACCCACCCTGCCTGCAGCTAGGACTGTGCTGGCTGCAGCTCCCTGGCATGGAGTGCTAATGCCAGGAGTGACAATGAGCCTTGCCTGGCCATGTTCCTTCAGCGTCCTACTGGCAGAGCTCATGAGCTTCATCCTTCTGATGAAGCTCATCTTCCATGAGCGTCCCACCAGTGAGGCTCCCCCTCCCTTCTGTGTCGTGGTCTCTCACCTATAACACTGCTGCAAAAAATGGTGCTCAGGCACCAGCAAGATGAGCTCCTTGCAGCTTGCTAGAATACTAACAGTGAGGGGCAATTCTGCAAGATTTGGCCCAGGCATAAGTGGTCATCCTTAGTAGTCACATGGCTATGGCTAAAGCCCAAATGGAGAGCAGAGCATCTGCCACCAAGCAAGCTGGTGGAGGCATGGCAAGAGACCACCCCAGTCCTCCGTGTTTAACATGCAAAGGGTCACGACCTTAGGGGAAGGGAAGAAGTGATTTTCCGGTTTTACTGAGAGAAATAGAGACAGACAGCTATTGGGATCTCCCAGCATCACACTGAAAATACATTACATGATCAGGAAACAGCCAAGGTTTTGTAATTCCCAGGCCCAGAGCAGCCATCATACTGGTTCCTGCCCTGGACAGGACATCAGGATCCATTCAGCATTTTGAAATAGCAGATAGCTATTTATGGCTGCTACCTATATTAATCCAAGGAGAAGAGTCTTTCTTTATTTTACAAACTCACTCCAAGTTTCCTTGAGTACCCCACTGACACAGGGTGAATTTCTGAGAGTAATCTTTCCTCCTTTTTCCCAGAACAGCAAACATCTGGGACTACTGAGATATCATCTTGTGGCATCGGCTGACTTTTTTCTTTAATGAGTTTCTGTGTAACAACTTCATGATGTTTTTCCTGGGAGGACAACTGTCTCATCTAAAACCTTGTCTCACATATTCCTTTATAGAAGGATGTTTTATGCTAAGGCTCTTGAAAGAATTTCCTTTCGTGTTCCGTCCCCACCTTTCTCTGTTTAATTCCTCCCAAATGTCTCTCTGATGCTTAACCTGCAGGTCGCCCTATTCACCAAAAACAAAGCAAAATGCTGGTTTGAATAAGCTCAAGATACATGGATGTCATTTCTGAACATTAGCAGGCCACATGATACTACCAACTTTATTTGATCCCATTTGCTGGAGCTGTCTGAATTTCTCAGGGGCAGGTTTTTTTTAATCCTGGTTCATTATTGTTCAAACCCATCAAGCAAATGGCTGTGGAGCGGAAGCTTGAATGGGCTTGTTTAATAAACAGGTGAAGTCATTCATCTGCAGCAGAGCAGCTCTGCAGCAAGGCTACTTCTTCTCCCTCCTGCTTCTTGCTGGGTCTGCGCTGGCAGCAGTTATGTTAAACCCTGGTAGCAAAATGCTGGGGAGGGTAAATCTTTGGCTTCACGCTAGCTGCTTTTGCCCGCCGCAAGAAATCCTTGCCGAAACAAATGGTTTGATTGTTTCCGTGGGTCAGTCGCCTATTTTAAATGGATTTCTCACATCTCACTTGGCACTGCTGAGGACACCGGCCCCATGGCAGGCTGTGTTCTTTATCTGAGCAAGTGACAGCCAAAGCAACAACCCACTCAGGCCCCAAGCTGTAGCCTTGGGATCAGTCAGTGAAACATTTGCAGCTCCCTACAGGTCTTATCGCTGCTGCCATGGAGAGCAGAGATATGCCGTGAAACCATGGCACCTGCTGAGTTTGGAAAACTAGCCCTAAGCTATCAGGATGGGCATGCGCCTGTGAGCTAGGAGCTGCACCCCGTTTCTTTAGCCCCCCTGACTCGCTCCATGTTTGAATTAAGGATCAGACCCTCAGCTGGTGTGTATTGGTGCATGGAAATTTGATGGAGCCCTGCCAGGTAACGGCAATTGAAGACCTGGCACCAGAATCTATTTTTCATACATAAAACTTGCTATTTTTGCATGACCTTTGGTTTCGCAGCAGCGCCAGAAAAGCTGCGTTTCCCCGGCGAAAGCGTGAATGTAAGATTTTGTTGCTGGATGCTCGCACCGAAGATGTGTTCGAGACAGATAACTGCTAGTATCTGTCACGGTGCCATTTCTGCGCTGAGCGTAGCATCTGGGAGCCCTCCCTGCCCCCCTGCTCCCTGCCTGCTAAAACCCAACTGAAACTCATTACATACCGGGAATACCAGCGTCCCCGCAAAGCCTGTGCTGCGCGGAGGAGGCTCTCCCTTGCTCCCTTTCTTCCCTTCCGCCCCGCTTGGCTGGGTCTTTGGCAGAGCCCCAGGACTTGGGAGGGGGGAGCGGAGGGGGGCTTGGGAGGGCAGCGACTTCCCGAGCATACCCACGGCCTCATTTTGATCTGCGGTACTGCCTGCTCATTTCCACTTCACAGATGCTGCTGAGCTCTGCCACCGAGAGACAAATCCCAGAAGGGGAAGGGAGCGTGGTGGGGAGGGAAGAGATGGAAGCAGAAAAGAGCCGCATTTATTAAGCTGTTTTTCTTCCAGTGAAAAGAAGCATTTATCAGTGATTTCATATATCATGTGAGATGTGGCTCCCTGCCAATTCCTAAGGATGCAAACAAGCTGCTGACATCATATACTAAATATAGAGCAGCTCCTGCTTTAGGTGAATAAATAATGCAGGTGCAAAAGCCCAGGTCTTCAGTTACACATTCATTACCATCCGTCTGTCAGGTTCTCATCATCAGGAGAACAACGTCCAACTCCAGCAAGGAGTGACAGGTGAAGAATGCAAAACAACTGCAGACAATAGGTGATTAAGCAGAATTTCCTTGTTCTCTGCTTTTTTCTTACAGCTACACTTCATTTCGGCAGTAATCCACGGTGTAGCTCTCCCAGTGCAGCTCTCCCGCCTCCCTCCCTTTCCCTCTGAGCCAAGCTGGAGTGACAAGCCTGGGTGGGGAGAGCCTGAACAATGAACATGGCCAAAATGTGGAAACTTCCCTAGGCGCTCAGCAGGGGGGGAAAAAAAAAACAACAAAACAGAAGGAAGAAAAAGGCAAAAAAAGAGAAAAGCTCTGATCAGACTATGCAAGCAGTAAAGCAGCATCATCCCACTATGAAACAGAAGTTTTCCACTCCCTGACAGAGAGAGGTTTTAATTAGGGTCTCCCAATGCTAATTGCTCTTGATTTCTCCAATGGTTTTATTTAAGGCACCCAATTTAAACAACCACGCAAGCAAACCTGTAGCTGGCTCCACAGCATATTATTTTAGCTCTCAGCAAGCACCCCAAGAAGGATTAGGATTGGTAATAAAACCCAATCGATACTTTGCCCCTTCTCTTCCTTCAGATCAAAGGCACAGAGCAGGAGGAAGCGCCCCAACCCATCCTTACTGGGGGAGAAAGGAGACAGGAGGGCAGGAAACAAGAAGACAATGCGCCATCAAAGCTGCCGCAAGGTGTTGGATCAATGACAACATCTGCATGAGGGTCTGGGCTACAATAGAAGCTGTTACCATGGGAACGGGTGCAAAAGCATCAGACGGGAGGGAGAAGGCGATGATGAAAGGTGGGAAAGCGGGAGAGAGTATTTTTAGATCGCTTAGGAGGAACGCTACACAATGACATCATCCTATCTCATTATTTGCATCCGTGCTGTATAACGCATTGTGGCGTCTGCCCCAGGCTGTTAAATTGGAAAATGTTATTATGGATGTGAATTATAAATGCTGTGGTGAGACTTGAGCTTGAGAGTTATTAGACATCACTATTCTGTAATAAAGGAGAGCATTTAATACACTATGCTGTACAGATTCACTGTTCAGTGCTAGAAGCATTGTGTCTAGGATTTTAATATTCCCAGAAAGTAATTATGAGTCATCCTTTTATTGTTATTAAGAAGCAGAGTGCAAATAATTTTACACATTTGATATCCCACACATCAACAAGCCTTTTGCACTGGAGAAACATGGCCTAATTTTCCAGAGCGCTGCGTGCCAATGTGTTCCAAGTGAATGTGGTTGTAGTCGTAGATGCTCAGCACTGCCAAAAATCCAGCCATCCATGCCACATGTGAAAGAAGCATCATTAATCTCGAAAATACAAAGTGCATGTTTCACTGCCTGTGTTTAGCTCCTCAGGTAGGGCCAGACCCCATTTAGAGTTAAGGACCCAGTAGATACCCGTGGCATCTCCTGAGTATAGCCCTGATTTTGGAGGGTGGGAGGGAATTCTGACTCTCAGACACCGCTCTGCTCCCAGCTGACAGGAGGGAAAGGCTCCAGCCTGGAGAGGTGAGACAAGCCAGGACTCATCTGCCTTGCTCTGGGACACGGGTGCCCAGAGCCCGCCGCACTGGAGAGGCTGGAATTGCTATTCCCATCACGCTGCCGGCGGTGAAGTCGGAAGGGTAAACCCAGAGGAATGTGTTTCTTGTGACTGCAAAACCCTGAGCCTGCTCTCTGCCCTGGAATAACCATCAGTAAATGCCGCGCTCAGCCAGAGCGTGTCCAGGGCCACCGGAGCCTGTCACTGGAGATGGGCAGGGACTGAAATTCCCAACCCGTGCTGATACCCACTGACGCTGCCAAAATGCCGCCGGGTGAGTGACAGGGCTTGCCCTAGCTTTTGCCCTGTGCGAGGCAAAGCACGTGGGTCCTCAGCCATTTGTTTTCGCACTTAAGGACTAACCCCTGCGTCAGCGGGAGAGAACAGGAGGTGGGAACCAGAGCGGTGCTGGGACCTGGTGCCAGGGGAGCGGGCATGGGGCAGGCAGTGGGGCACAGCCCCGCTGTGAGGACGGAGCCAGGCTGATGTCATTTTGCAGCTCTTCTCCTTGGATGAGCTAAATATACCCTCCTTCACCCTCCCCCCTTTCCTGCCCCCCGTCGCTGTGCCACTCATCCCAAGGGTGTGAGTGGGCAAGTGTGGGCTGGTGGCATATGGCCATGTCCACTGCCTCCCCTGACCCTGCCATAAAAGGCACTGGTGCGCAGCCTGGCCAACTGGGGAAACAGAGCAAGAAATAGCACAGAGACGATGGCAGGTGGGCAGAAACACGAGCCAGCCTGAGAGTTACCACCTGGCTGTAAGCAGAGCTTGCTTAAAGCACAAACAACAGGTAGCAAAACCTGATTGCTTTCAGTTTTTTTTTTCCACTGTGCAATCACAACGTGCCATTCTTCTCTCCGTTTAAGCTCTCCTTCTTCACAGAAGATCTGACTCATTAAACATCTAATAAATAGTGAAACTTGCTGATCTGTATGTGCTACTCCTGATCCATCTTAAAATCATAGAATCATTCAGGTTGGAAGAGACCCTTGGGATCATCGAGTCCAACCATCTACCCTACTTTACAAAGTCCTCCCCGACACCATATCCCTCAGTACCACATCTAAACATCCCTTAAACACATCCAGGGATGGTGACTCAACCACCTCCCATCTTCAAGGAGGCAAGGTGAACATTACCCAACACAGCAGCTCATGCTGCCGGGGTCCCACAGGGCATGTCTACGAAGAAGGGCTAGAAAAGGTGAGTGAATTTAGCTGAGCCTCAAATAACGACACCTGAAGACATTTTCTTTCCTTGTCTAAATGCAATTTTCTAGCTCCAACATCCCTAAGTATGTTGTGCTTAAGTCTCCTGACTCAGCTAGATCATGCCTGAAACAGCAGCCTTTGTTATGATATCATTGGCTAAATTGACCTATTCTGCACGTCGCCTTCATTCATCTTAACCTCACCCCCCTTCCTAGTTAAGCTAATGCCCAGCACAATACTGAATAACTTTTGCTTTCTTCCTGGCAGCTCTTTTTTGGCACGTCTCATTTTATTTTATTTTTGAGGAAAGAGGTTAGGGTTCTACATCTTACAATATTAGTGTTGGATATAGATGAAACAATATTTCATACAACTTATCATTTAATTTGTATTATATGTTAGCTTTGGCAGTGCAGGCATTGCAGTCATGCCAGTAGAGAAACTTTGATCTAAATGAGGGTAAAACTCAGCCAGGCTTGAAGTAGGGTTGCAAAAAATAATTTCAAATATTAAAAATCTGGCCCATGCTTTTGGGGATACAGGTGCTGTTGGTGCCCTAAATATCTCATTTTATAAGAGGCATGACCTCTCTGCAAAAATCAAGGACCATTTTAGGACAACATACAAATCGGGACGAGGAGTCACTCTGGGCACGTGTGGAATTCACCAGACACATTTTGGGCACTACCCCAACCTGAATCACAGCAGTCACGGACATGTACGGCTCAAGGGACCTCCAGAGATCATCCAGCCCCTCTTCCCCTCCCCTCTCTTCCTGTCTGATATCCCAGACTGATATTTGTTTAACCTTTTTAAAATACCTTCGGTGACAGGGACGGCCCTCTGCCAGGACTCACCTCTCCTGTTTACAGCATGGTTTTTTTTCTTTAGCTCTAACCCAGATCACTCTCACTGAGACACAGTTCACCTTCTCTGCCTACCTGAAGACTAGTCGGTCTAATGGCAATCCTTTACATATTTGACACATTGCCACGTCTGCCCTCATACTCCACTCCTCTAGCCTGGACAAACCAGTTCTTTCGACCTTTCCCTGTAAGCCATGTCTTCCAGGCTACCACCATGCCCTGCTCTCCCCCACACTCGCCTGCATCATTCCCTGAGAAGCACAATGCTGTCCTCTGCTCAGCTCAGCCCTCAGGAGGGAGGAATGGTGATTTCCCCAGCCCCATCTGGCATGACCACCAGCACCTCCCAGTTGTCCCCTTCCCCATCCCGGACCACCAGCTTCTGCCTTGCTCCTTGTCCAGACCTCTCCTACCCTGCTGCTGCCAGCCCAGCCCTTCCCCATAGCATCGTTATCTGCTTGAGTCCTCCTTCTAAGTGTGTGCTGTGCACTCCCCTGTATTGAATCTCGTTTTATTGATCTCAGACCATTTCTCTCATTTGTCAAGACCGCTTTGATTTCTAGCCCTCCAAAGTGCTTGCAAAGTGTGCTTCCCCACCTGGAGGTACCCACAGATTTTAAAGTGTGCTTTCTTTCCCATTACTCTCCTCATTAATGATATAAAGAGCAGCAGCATGACCCAGCGCTGTCTGCTTGCTCGCTTCTCTCCCTTTCTTCCGACCTCTCCTGCTACCAGAGCAGCGAGCTTCCACACACATGAGATGCAGAAGGGATATGGGTTTGCCACCAGTGATGGCAGCCCCCTGAAGATAGGGGGTAAAGCACATCATCCCACACTCAGCAGCTCACCGCTGCTGCTGGTGGGCATTAAAGCCTGCCTGTGACATAGGCACACCTCCGTCCCAAGTTAAAAAGCTGCTCCTGTGCGTCTGTGTGTGCGTGTATGTGGGGGTGTTGAACCTCAAGCCTGTAGCCAGAAGGAAAAGCTAGGCTTGGTTTGGCTCTGCAGGACCGCTAAAGCTCGGGCTACCAGAAATGTTTACTGAGCAAATTTGTGCAGCTTCAGCTCAGGCTTGCCAAGGACCCAGCTGAACAATTAAAAGAAATATCAGTTCAGTTGCAGGTTGCAGCACACTCATAGTCCTGCCTTCAATGAATAAAATTAATCATTCTCACTGATTCTCTAATCAACCCAATCCTCAGAGGTGTAAATTATGCTAGCAGATGTATAATCAGGGAAGTTTTCCAAATTAACCTAAAAAAACCCCCAAGAACCCTGAGCATCTCTCAGCATTGGCTGAGCTGAGCAAGGGCTGTTTAAAGCAAGTTCAACACAAAACTGGGTGGCAGTGACGGTACCTTGTGAAAGACAGTAGAAAAACAACCAACTTGGAAGAGAGGGCTTTGATTCCAGGTGACAATGGCCCTCCTGGGCCAGCCTTTCCCCACTTACCCTGCCCAGATGCTTGGGATGTGCCTCCAAATACTTGTTTGCATGGAAACTCCATCAGGATCCTACACCTTAGCAGGTGCACCTCAGGAAAGGTCCCAATCCCTTCATCCAGCAGACCTGTAGGAAGAAAATAAACCTCAGCACATTGCTAGGAATATAACATGGAAGGTTGGGTACAGCCATCAGCTGGTGCCACCCTCTGCTAAATGCACCCCGGCCGGCAGCCTTGGTCTGGCTGTGGATGGAGGGGGACATCAGCTTGACAGCTTGGCTGTGGTTTTGTCTTCTCCCTGCTTCTGTGGTGGGAAACACCAGCGCTCCTTGGAGAAGCAAAGGTGGCTGCTCCGTGACAGCACCCAGCAGACAGCCTGTGTGAAATGGTTCTTCATCGGCTGACCTGGGTCTGCCAGTGACTCTGGGTCACTTTGCTCTCCCTAGAGATGTGGATTGAAATGATGATTGTGGTGTGTACTAAGTCATAAAAAACAGGGGGTTGTCAGAATAGAAGAGTAATATTTTAAATGCAACATTGGAGCATTTAGAGGAAAACAATGCAGCAAACCAGCAAGACTTGAGTTACAAGTGTATTGCCTGCGTGACCTGGGGGCACAAAAGAGTTCAGATGGGGCCCAGCCTGCTGCTTTATGTACCCACTGTTTTATTACGTAAAATAAAAGTAAAATGGATTCCAGCAAATAATGGTAAATATTTGATGATGTAATTATGCCTTATTAATGCAACGTTCTTTCTTTTGCAAATTAAATTTTCACAAGAATTCATCACCCATTTCATTTTTATTATTTAGGCCATGACTATGTCACAGTCGTTTGTTATGTACTTTCATAACCATTTGATTAATATTAAATGTTTAAAACAAAAACTCCATTTATATTTTAGTTATAATGGCCCTACGAAAATATTATGAATACGAGTCGGTATT